CTCTAGCTGTAACACACCGTGTCTCTAGCTGTAACACACCGTGTCTCTAGCTGTAACACACCTTGTCTCTAGCTGTAACACACCGTGTCTCTAGCTGTAACACACCGTGTCTCCAGCTGTTACACACCGTGTCTCTAGCTGTAACACATCGTGCCTCTAGCTGTAACACACCGTGTCTCTAGCTGTAACACACCGTGTCTCTAGCTGTAACACACCATGTCGCTGGTATTGAGAGAGATTATATGAGGTTGCGACACCATAAGTAAGATATTGATCGAAAACCTGGCTCACCGAGTCGTTGATGCTATAGACCTGCTAGTAAAATAATGACGACTTATAATAACGATATATAGTATTAAACATTGAAAAACTCTGTTATTTAATCTGCAGTTGCTTCTTAAGAAGCTGAATGGAATGAGCTTGATTGTTTCTTTATATATCCGTCCTCCGGTAAGTTACGGACTTACAACTCTAAAATACGGAGTGGACAGAATGTAGCTGACCCATTGTGTAGCATCGCGCGAAAACAACAATATCTTTATATCTTTACAGCAATGGTTCTCAAACTTGCTTTTTACCAGACTACCTGAAGTGGGCTCATGGATCATCAATGGTTTTCTGACCACCTGAAGTGGGCCCATGGATCATCGGTGGTTTCCGAACCACCTTAAGTTGGTCCGTGGATCACTAGTGGTTCCAGAACCACCTGAGATGGGCCCTTAGGTCATCAGTGGCTCTCGAGACACCTGAAGTGAGTCATTGGATCATCAGTGGTTTCCGGACCACCTGAAGTGCGCCCATGGATCATCAGTGGTTATGGGACCACAGATTCAGAACCGCTGCTTTAGAGCTTACAAGAATATTTTATTTGTACGCCTAAAGGTCGATAGTTCTTCTGTTCTCATGTTTCGTCTATATAACAGAATCACAGAACAAGAATTGCTTCTTGTACCATCAAAAGTTTCGTCATTATTGATTTATATAGTTTTGATTCTTGTACCATCAAAGGTTTCCTCATTATTGATTTATATAATCATTGATTCTTGTACCATCAAAACTCCACTGGAGCATAGGGCCCCAAATAATACCTCGATATAATAATAATCCCTGTCGACTCCCAC